GGGTGTCATTGCATAAATTTGCCAATATTTTGTTATAAGAATTCGATTCAGCAGCAAAAGATATAAATGACTTTATTCAGAACTTTACAAAAACATATAATTCAAACTTTCATTTTCTTCACAAAGTTTTTCGTAATAAAGTAACGTATAAAAATACCCTTATATCAATAATGTCATAAATTTATTTTGTTGTTAATGTCACGTAATAATTTTTTTTTTAGAAAAATAGTACTCTTAATAAAAGTAAGGAATCAGTAATCAGTTTTCTTCTACATGATAGAATAATTATTTACATCGATAATTGTTACCTTTTACAACTATTGTTTGAGTTTTCTTTACTGGCTCAAAGCCATTCTCTGCAACACATGAATAATTACCACTGTCACGTTCCAAAAGATATCGTATAATTAACTTTTGATTTCTATCCTCTAAACTAAACTGTTTTGATGACGATAAAGATGTGCCGTCTTTAAACCACGTGATAGTAGGTGCTGGAATTCCTTCAAAATGACATGATAAATAGACAGGATTTTCTGGGTCTATTGCATATCGTGTTATTGAAAGGTTATTTATGTTTCCATGAACAAAGTAAGCTGGAACTAACAGTAAAAGTCTTTAAAAATAAACATAAATAGTGATTTATTTGTCAAAAAAATTATCTGCCGTGCAATCACATCGAAATAAGATTTTTTCGTGCATACCATTGACCTCAAGAGAAAATATTTCATTATCGATGATTTTTGCACTAATAAATGAACAGTTATAATCCCTTTTATCTGAATGGCTCAAATTTTTAATGGACAAGATGGCACGGTAAGTGTAGTTAGTTTTCTCATACCAGACGTGAATTCTTTCTGAAACATTATAAGATCTAAATGATTCAAGCTAAGACGAACTAAGCTGCACTTAAACTTTTAATAATTTCCATTATAACTTTAGTATAGAACTAACCAGAATTTACAACGTTTTCTGGTTCATCATAATACCATTTTACCGTTAAAAATTCACGAATGACAGCAAAACATACTAATGAAATATTTTGACCTACATGAAACTTCATTTTTGGCCTTATAATTCCATATGCCTTATCAGAAATTCCATCTTGAATTTAAAAAATTAACATTAAAAAATATCTTATGACAATAAATTTTCATTAAACTAAAAACTGGATGGAGATAGTTTGTTGAAATTTACCAACCTGTGACATGAATGTCATATTTTATATCGCTACATCCATAACTATTGCAAGCCATGCATTTTATTGTTGACTCTGCTTCAGGTCTTAACATTACCGTCGACTTATATTCAGCACTGTTGCTTTGTTCATCCATCTTTGTATCCTCTAAATACTATATTTAAATTTGAATTAAAATTGGACATATCTCACTTTTTAACGAAAGTACATGATGGCAATTTTAAAATAATACATTCTATTACGTGCATTAAAAACTTTTAATTTGGAGTAATTAGTAACATTTTTATGATTACATAGTCGCAGAAAAAACAACATAAAATAACTAATATTGTTTACTTTAATCATGCGTTTTTCCTAACATTGGCTTTCAAACAAAATTATAACTATACTTCTGTAATAATACGTATGATAGTCTTACTAATATATAAAGCAAAGTCGCTAAAATCGTTGTAATCGCTAACCACAAAAACTACTGAACCGATTTTGAGGGGTTGACGAGACAAAGTGTACGAGAGGCCATAAGGTGCCTGCTTGGAAGTGCCGCCATGGTTCGCATGGTTTGTCGTGTGTGGGTAAAGATAGCAGAGAGGACGAGGGAGAGAGAGAGAGAGAGAGAGAGAGAGATAATTAAATTGAATTTATCTAATACGGAGCTAGGAGCTAGTCACTCCTTGTAGCTCGGATTGTTATTCCTATTACATATCTCAATATAGTAGGAGCCACTTGCAACCTACTCCCAGTCTAATTCATAGTAAGAATTGATAAAATAAATAAATAAGTAAATAGATAAGTAGATAAAAGTTCACATAATATATAGTATCACAGTTATTAAAATCTGCGTGAGATGCATTAGTAACAGTTGACAATGAGGCAAACAAGCAAATAACATATATATCTTTCATATTGAAAAACAGAATAGTACGCTATAGTGGATGGTGGATGTGCGGTCGCGGCTCGCATGTTGCGAGTCGAAGTCGCTGCAGTGCGGTCCAAAGGACCATGTGAAGCGTTGTGTAGTCTATTGTATACAGAGATACTGTGTATAAGTGTAAGTGATTAAATAGAGAAATAGTTGAAGATATTTGCTTCTGTGTCAGGTAATGATTCTCCCCGTAGAACGGGAGAGCTTCTGCACCAATCGCCCTTTTTCAGGAGAAGAAATCCAAAGTGTAACAGGAACAAAAGGTGACATACCTGATGGAGATTTGATAACGCTGCATCGGCACATTTATTTGTTTTCAGGTAAAGAAGCAGTGTTAAAGAGTCCGTCTCTGCTATCTCACAGTTCACCATGAGGCAAGAATTTATTTTTCCCTCGAACGGTCGACTAGTTAGTTAGAGTTCGTCTCTACTGTCTCGTGATCTTCTACACGTGAATTTCATTATACCTTAACGAAGACGCAGTAAGTATGATTCGCTTCTACCACTTCACGCTGATTTAGTTTGTGTTATGCCTTAGAGCTCTGAATAAAAGTAAGTTCTTTGAAAAACTTTAACTTTCTAGCTTTTCTCTTTTCCCTATACCATATGTAAGCACAAACTCGGAAATATGCTCCGCTATTGAAAATAGAAGGGATAGCCTCTACATCGTGCATTATAATATACCGCAGCTTCTACGTTAACGCTAGAGTG